TATATATATATATATATATATTTCATTTAAATGCTGTGAATAGGGATGAGCTTCAGGTTGACCATGAGTTCGACCTCGACCCAAGCTGTTTCCAATTCACTAATTGTCCAAACAATTTGACCAGTTTGCCCGCCCACCAAACCTCTTACAACTAACAACCCTTGACTCTGTATATCCCACACAGCATAATTGGTTGACTAGTAGCTGAGCCATGCATTGTCATTGGTTGACGGTTGGCTAATCTGAGCAGTATCATTGCTTAAATGGTGGCTGAGCTGTGAGGTGTCTACGGAATTCGTATTTCGGAGAAAAAAACAACTACCACATTGACTCCAATATTAACAAAGGTATTTTTGCTTTTTAACTTCATCATAACGAATGTTCGTAAAGTTACAAAAATGTGCCGAAACTAACGAAAATTTGTATTTCGTACGAATCCGAATTGAGTTTCGGATACGAATTACGAAATACGAAATAATGGATATTCCGAAACAGAACAAAACGGAACAAATTTTTTTACGGCGCACAAGTATAGTCATGGGTTCACTGGTGGCTGAGCCAAGCAGTGTCATTGCTTGAATAATGGCTGAGCAGTGAGGTGTCATTAGTTCACTGGTGGCTGAGCCGTGAGGAGTCATTGGTTCACTGGTGGCTGAACCATGCAGTGTCATTGGTTGACTGGTAGTTGAGCCATGCAGTGCCATTTGTTGACTGGTGGCTGAGCTGATCAGTCTCATTGGTTGACTGGTAGCTGAGCCAAGCAGTGTCATTGGTTGACTGGTAGCTGAGCCGAGCAGTGTCATTAATTGACTGGTGGCTGAGCCGTGATGTTTCATTGGTTGACTGGTGGCTGAGCTATACATTGTCATTGGCTGTTATGGTGGGCCCTCTTACTTCTGAGTAATCAATTACAATGTGTGGCCATCTGCTAGTATCCAAGCCACCAGACCGTTCTGGCTTTGATTAGTTTGGATGTTCGCCAAACTCACATTTATAGTTGCATTTATCGAACGTCCAAGTGAACTCAAACCCAGACTAATTCTCTCATACCTAGTAAATATATAAAATGACCAACTTCCACCTATATTGTGTTTCCAATGTTGGGTTTCCTGTTTAAAGTGTCTAAATATATTCCCCTTAAAACCCCCAATACAATTCTTGAACGCCACTTGTGTGGGAGGAATAGTGCTAATGTCCCGATCGTGGTGCATTGCACTGATTACTTTTTTGTTTTGTAATTTAATTGAAAAGTCCCAAGTGACACGTCATTCTCTGTTCTTTCCATTGAGATGCAGTGAGGTTCATTGCAACAAGCTGTGCAGAAAAAAGAACCACATGAGGATTTTTTTTTTCGGCACACTCCACCGCAATGCTGAGGTGTGAACTGACCTAACTGAAACAAGACTTTTTACCTTGTCTATGCGTTGGGACTCTGCAACCCCAACACTTCTATTGCGAACGCGCCCTAAAAATACTGATGTCCAGTGAAGGGGATCTAGTAAAATTGGACATATTTCTACAAAGTCACAAAGTGTTCTCCCAGCGTTGTTCCATATTATACGTAAGAATTATCTGTTGGTTGTTAACTGGGTCAAATTATACAAGGTAAAGAAATAAATAAATTAACATCACCATCTGTTGTCTTCGAATCATTGTCGGGTTTTCATAACCTGAAAGGTGAATACATAGTCAGTCTGTGCTTTAAACCTTTTATGGAGGCGGCCATTGTTTATTTTCCAAATGCTAGCTCCCAGTTAAATCACTAACTAGGGACAAGCATGCAGATGAGGACTTCTGACTTGCCCAATCTGTTAGTGAGAGTATTGATTAGGGATGCACCGATACAGCTACTAGTATAGATATAGGTGCCGATACCGAGTATTTGGGTGAGTACTCATACTTGCCCATATGCTCCCGATGCCTATCCCGATACCGGAACTTCTGATATCAGGAAGCCGGGCAGCGAGCCATTACATACTGATTTGCCGGGAAGCTAGGTCCATGCTCCCTTGTCACCAGGGAGCATGGAGCTAGCTTCCCGGCCAAGCAGGAAGCCATGGGGACAATGACTCATCCCTTGGTGCCGAAGGAGCATGGAGATGGCTTCCCTGTTAATCGGGGAGCTGAACATTGGATGATGCCCTCAGAGACTCTATGGATGTTGTTTAAAATTTCATTTGATTTTAACATTTGATTTTGGAATCAATGGTGTTTTCCCGAACAAACACCACATTCACTGTCTGAAATGTTACAATTTCACAAGAAAAAATTCCATCCCACTCCTTAAATTTTTCTTGTCACTGCGAAGGAGAACAATTGTCAACTTGACCCCCATTAACTATTAGAAAATTGACAAAATGAAAATTAATTTCTTCCACTAATTTTTCCTGGTGTATGGCCGGCTGAGCTGGAAGTTATAGAAATTCTGAGGATCTAAATTACAAAAAAATTACCTCCTTTTTGGTCGTCTGACATCTCCATCGTCTCCATCGTCTCAACAATAGTCTCTCTGAGGAATAAACAACAATAGAGACAATTAGAGGAAAAGATAGATAGATAGATAGACAGACAGACAGACAGACAGACAGATAGATAGATAGACAGACAGACAGACAGATAGATAGATAGATAGACAGACAGACAGACAGACAGACAGATAGATAGATAGATAGATAGATAGATAGATAGATAGATAGATAGATAGATAGATAGATAGATAGATAGACATACCCCAAACTGCTCTCTTTGTTACCTATGTGAGGGGGAAAAAATCCATTATTGCAATGATTCTTGGCTTGTTATCATCTCCTCTTACTCTCCTTCATTATTTACAAATCTATGAACCTTTATCTGTTTAGGACATATCCACAATGACATCACCCCCCCTCCAAACACACACACTGCAAGGGTTAAATGAACGCTCATTCTAGATGCAGAGAAATAAGGTGTAATACCTACCTTCACAGATAGGGGGAGTTCGGAACAAGGTAATTATGACAACTTATTCTTCTACGCCCAGATTTAAAGGACTCCAGTTATGCAAAAAGTTAACCCTTGCAGTGGGACTACCCCCACATTGCAAGGATTGGCTGCTCGTTTTTCTTTAGGGGCCGGAAAAAAAAAAGATATACTCACTCGATCCTCAGTCTTGTGGTGGTGATCGCTTACCTCTTACCCCCTCCTCTGTGGCTGTGGTATGTCCATCGGCGCCCTCACATCTGAAGCAAGTCAATAGACTGTAGTAGATGTGAGGACATCAGAAGGGCTTAGACCGCCAGTGCCATGGGAAAAGAGGTCCTGCAGACCAGTCTAGCAGACAGGCAGGATTGAGGTTCCGGTGAGTATATATGTTTTTTATTTGAGCCCCTGAAGAAAAACAAACAGTTAACCTTTGCAGTATGGGGGTCGCTCCACTGCAAGGGCTAGCTTTTCACTTTTCTGGAGTTCCTCATTAATGAGCATTTAACCCTTCTAATGTGGAGACCGTGGGGGTGCTACTGCTCTTCTTCTTGGAGTTGGGCTTTAATATACATTGCTGCTCCCAAGCAGTTGAATTGTAAAAATTAACACATCTCAAAATGGTTTTACTTATAATAGCAGACAATAAGCCAACATTGTTATCCGCCCTCCTACAGTAAGCCATCTTCATTTTGCCATGGCATGCTGATAGCCCCTCAGCCGGTTTTCTTCTGGTGGGCCTTGGGTATGGCACTGGGTGGAACCACCAAAGCTGGCACAAAATAAGCACCCACCTCTTCCATAAACTCATATACTTTCAGATATTTACCCTCATTGAAAAGCTACACTTGTTTCCCACAGCCAATGACTAAGGTAACATGGCGCTGTGCTAGAAAGCTCTTGGATTTGATCATTAGTGATGTTTTTCTGGGCTTACAAACTGAGTAAACTTACCTCCTTTTTTCAAAAAGTAGAGGGCCAAGGTCATGAAGACGACCAGGAAAACAGCTACCACGCAAAGTACAATTGTTAATGTTGGTGATGGTGCTTTAGGTGGGTTTGACTCAATATCTGGAACTTGAAAAACATAGGCAGTCAACAGAGGTATCATGGGCCAAAATGGAGTGATTTTTTTGGTCATTTTGATGTATGCTTGTATCATTGTGCAATGCGTTTTCCTCCTCTCCTTAAAGGGACATGTCCTCAAAATGACCCTGAGCCCAATCCTTCTACAAACATGTCCTCAAATGGGACTTGGACCTGGAATGGAAATTAGTATTGGGCTGCCTAATTAGGTTCATCTTTGTAATGGATCCGGTATTCTTACCTTTCCGACGTCTCGGAGGGTGGTTCCGCCTCCGGTCCGCTGACGTCACGTCGCTCCACCCTCTTCCTTGCCTTAAACCACGAACATTCCCTTGCCCCGCCTCCCGCGTTCCTGCAAGGGCGTGGATGCCGGACAAGCTCTGAGCAACTCCACTCTCCATCCTGAACCAGAGGTTACTCCCTAGCCACCTCTTCAGAGCATACTTCCACTCTTGACTCTGCTGGGCTGCTGAGACTTGTGCACTCCTTATCCTCAGCCTCTACAACTAGCATTCAGCCTCAATCCATGGAGGGAATCCTAAAAGTGCAGTACAACTAACAGCAAGTATTAATACCACTGCTGCCTATGTTCGTTCAATCCTAAAGACTTCAACCTGTGATGTGCAGATAAAATCCCAACTTGCTACTGCTACTATATGTTTATTTACTGTTATTGAATTATATACGGATTCGGCAGCTGTGTTCCATCTCTGGCCATAAGGGGTATTATAATCTTAGACTCTGCAGATCATACTATGTGCCCAACGGTGTCCTTATTCCATCATAGGATACAAGAATACAGACAGGGCTAGATTTGCCACAAGGCCACCGAGGTCTGGCCTTGGGGCGGCAGGTAGCAGAGGGGTGGCAGCGGTGTGGAATCTCCCGACGCCCGGGACATGCATTTCCGGCGCATCGGGCGGTAAGTTGTTTTCTACCTTTAGCCCTGCTATGGGCAAGCAGGGCTAAATGTAGAACGTGGAAGCCGCTTGTTTGTTTACAAGTGATCTCGGTGATGTCGCCAAGATCACTTGTAATGAGACTGCACATTGAAGAACCTGGCCTTGGGGCAGCAGGGAAAGTATATCCGGCCCTGAAGAAAAAAGTAAAGAGTGTTTCAGTTAAATTTTCATTCTATTTTAGTTTTTTTGCCCTGTAACCAGGGCTGTAACTACCATGGGGCGAGTGAGGTACTCGCCTCATGCGCAGCTGAAAGGGGGCGCAGCCAGGGCCGGCCTGGCTGCGCCCCCTCGCACATGTTGCTATGGACGAGCACAGGGCGCCATTGGCAACAGGGGCACCAGGCAGCCAACACAGCTGCGGCTCGGCAGGGAAAAGAGGAGCGGCACAGCCTCCAGCTTCTCCTCGGATCCCTGCTGCTCTCCCCTACCTGTATAGGCAGAGGACTCTGTGTCCTCAATCTCTTTTTCTATTTCAAAAGGGAAATGTCAGGGGTCTGTTTAGACCCCTAATATTTCCCCGAAGCCCCCCAACAGTGAAAAAAATTATAATAATAATAATTTAAAAAAACAACCCCACACACACACACATTACTAGACCTGTGCAAATACTAAAAATCTGTTTCAGGCGAAATTAACGGAAACAAAAAATGTTTTCTTTAGTTTCTTCAAATAAATCAAATTTTTATGCTATTTTGGATTTGACCTCCAGTGCATAATGCGCAAGTGCTCCGCCATCCTGGCAGGCGTATGTTGTCACATACCGCACACGTCTGTTGGGGGCACAATTTTCTGTTCTTGCCTCGGGTGCAAAAGGAGCTAGCTACGGCTCTGCCTGTAGCTAAAGCCAGCACATACTGTGGAAGCCAAAGCATCATAAGTTACAACTCCTGCACTAAAGCCTTATTTCTCAACTGGTGGGTCGTGACCCAAAAGTGGGTCGCGACCCCATGTTTAGTGGGTCGCCACTTGCCTTCCACTTTTCTAGGTGAAAAGCTCATCAGTCTCCCCCTAGCGCAGCACTGTCAGTTCTTGCGTCAAACAGCCATTCAAAATATGCTGCCCGTTGCCGAGTGTCAGCTTGAGGTGGGATGGGCTGGGGCTATGGTCATGAGGGAGCTCCATCTATACGTACAGCTCCCTCACGTGTCCTGTAGGGGTGCCTGGGCCAGAGTGATGTCACATTCTGGTTACCTACAGGACACACACAGGGAGCTGTCCAAGCAATGCACATATGGATGGAGCTCCTTCACAGTACATCAGCCCACACTGGACCACAGTCTGAGGATCAGCTCCAGTTCTCGTAAGGTATGGAGACTGGTTTTGAATGGCCCCCCAAATGCACCTCCCACCCACAGTTTGATTGCACACACCGGAAAGTGCAATACCACAATGCTGTGCGACCCATTGCAGTCCAACTTGGGTCACAACTTAATGACCAAGGACAAATGTGGGTCCCAGGGTTACACAGGTTGAGAACCACTGGATTCCAATCTAAACCATCTGAAAGAGCCCTGAATAAGGAAATGCTACAATACCAATGCATTTGCTGTATATTTACACAACAATCATGAAAAGATTGAATCCAAATCACCAGGTTGTATTTCGGTGCTCCTCACCCACCACATACTGAAGTTCCTTTGCTGAATAACCAGCAAATAGACTGGTCTCTTTTTGAGGAGTCCAAGCTACAGATCCCACACACCATGACTATCTGACCTTTCTAGTTTTGAGTACACTATTCCGTACCACCGAGCCCCATCCATTGACGATAGCTTTTTAGGGGACTTTATTATTTTGCCCACTCATCGCTGAATTAGCTGTTTTTTTTTTAGATCTGCACGGACTTCATATTCAAAGTGACTCTGTCTGTTGAATGGGCAAAGTGACAGAGTTTTTTCTGCAGCCCACCATCCAACCCATATATCTTTCTTGCTTCCTATTGCGCTATTGCTTGAGGAGTCAAACCTGGTGTAAGCTCCATGTTGGATGGTGTTGGAGTTACATGGGATTGATTGACATTGTCTACCTAAAATGACAGTGAAATGGCAATTGGCTGCTAGGCCTGAGCACTGCATCATGGGAGGAGGTCACCTATTCTCCACATACCCGAAGCACTAACGGAACAATAGAGCATCCAAGGGAGTGCTGGGAGGGTACGTTTATGTCGGAGGTGGGCTTTAAATAGACCCTACCACTGCCAAATTAGGGTAAGAGCAGAATCCCTTTAAACTGGACAGCATAATCACAAATTAACTAACGGAGAAATGGTGGAGAAGAAAGTTAACAAGACGTCAAAAAGCATGACCTGCAAAAGAAAAGGCTTTTTATCAAGGACCTCCTCTGTTCTGTGCTTTCTGGCAGAGTAACAGCCTCTTTACATCGACACTTCTGGGTGTTTTGGATGCATCCACTTTGTGGTTCCCGCTGCTGGCCTTGCATCAGTACAATACACAGCAGTGGCATAGGGGGTCAGCAGATGGAACACACAATGCCTTGGAGTGGGGGGGGGCTCAGGTATCCAGCACTCTCAAAAGTGTCAAATGTGAAGATTCTTCAGACAGCCATAGCTGTTAAAGAGACCCAAGATTGGAGAAACTGGAGACAGTTGAATATAAAACCCGCTTTTCATTAGGAGATATCGTACCTCTCATGTGCCTATGGAAGAGTGGAAGAGTGAGCTCTAAATACAGTTTGGTCTTATTTTGATAGATACCTTTTGACATTTATAACAGTCAGTACGTACCTTTCACTACTAAACGTGTTCCAGGACCTTCTTCTACGATTGTTTCTATGCGGTTAGGATTATATTTATTAAGTGGCGCCAAGCATCGTCTTATTATCACTCGGCAGTAGATGATGGTGTTATTGGGCCCATGGAAGTCTTCTATATGAAGATTAGAGCCGTCCACCAGTCTGGTCTTTCCCTTGTAATTGAGGTGTATGTAGTCCATGTTTGGATGGTAGACGTAGCTCTCTCTAGAATCCCCGGTCATCCAGTAGACTTCCATCCGTAGAATATCATTGCGCTGTTGTACAGTAGAGCTGCAATTGATTGTAGCGGATTGATGGATTTCCACTTCCTCCGGCTGAGTGATATTTAGGTTGTTTGTTTTATCTTAAAGTAAAAACACAGAAACTATTAAAAAAAGGCTTTTTGTACATTATGTATTGTTTTCTAAATGACATGCTACTCCCACACTGCAAGGGTTAAATGCTCATTTTGTCTAGGGGACTCAAATAAAGCCGATTTAGTCCCCTGATCCCCGGCTCCTCCAGCCTTCTAGAGCGGTCCCAGCAGCCTCTTCTCGCCTGGGCTCCGCCCCCACTGAAAGACTGTTTTTTATTTACAGTAGAACTAAAGTCTCCGGTATGACAGTCTAAATAAGTCCCAAATCCAGTTACTATGTGATGCACAAACCTCAAAGGAAACAAAAAAACTTTCTTTACCTCCCCTGACTGAGCCAAATCCTCCTTCATTTGGGTCTCACATGCTCTCCCTCCCAGACAATGTGGGAGGCATACAGCCACTGGTTCCATGCTGTCAGTTCAGAAAGCTGTGGGTGGGGCTGGGTGTAGACAAGTGCTGATTGACTAGCTACAGGCTTGATAATCAGCAGCGGCAATGCTGCTAGCTACACCCCCTGCATCAGCTTCTCCTATAGTGCAAGCAAGCACAGCCTACATGAGGGTGACAATTCTGCTCTGAATTCGTGATTGGAGCAGCATTGTTGCCACCCCATCACAGGAAGCTGCATTAGGTGGACTTCACTGGCCTGATCAACAGGTATTTGTGGGTCTCTGCAGGGGGGACCATGAGAAAACTGTAAGTACAGATGAACCTATAATTAAGTGATTCAGCACATATTTTTTTTAAAAGGGAAGGTCCTAGTTCTACTTAAAGATTGGTGTAAATCTTAACTCTCCCCCTTCATCGAGTCTTTTACAATGGGATAAGGATTTGATTGGACTTGATTGAAATAAATCTTCATTAGGACTGGAATTGTATTGGCCCTAACGAAGGGAGAGTGTTGTCGCCTCGAAAGACGTGAGCTTTTTTGGTTTGATTGAATTGTGAACAATTAAAGGCACTTTTGGACTTTTTTTGGAATAGGAAACGTTGGACGAGGAACCTTCTGGAAGGGTGTCCAGGTATTCTTTTAACGAAAGCTGCAGATTTAAAGAAATTCCACAAAACACTGCAACCTGTGCCAAGCCCTCTGTTCCTGAAGGCAGTGCCATCTCTCCTTTGTAATGGATCCCGGGGACGCCGCCGTTCCGACTCACGGAACCGAGTGGAAGCTCCGCCCCCGGGCCGTCGACGTCATACGAGACCGCCTCCGGCCTCTTCATAAGCCTTGATCTCCCACCTGTCTGGCGTTCCAGCAACCCAGCGTGGACGCCAGACGAGTGCCGGTCTCCTTGCCTACAGCCACACTCACCACAGCCTGCCTCAGTACTCACCACCCGAGATTGGACCCCGGCTGACAAACCCTGGGACACTCCGAGCTAGCGTGGCCAGGATCAAGCCACCCCGAACAGCAGGACGCCCAAACCGCAAGTATTCCCCTCTGGCTTGCCACCCACAGGGGATTTAACCTTTGCTGTAAGCTATCTGGGACTTGTACGTACTTTTGCATTGAAGATAAGGGAAGTCTTCCCCCTGCTGGTGGCTAATGAGATTGCATGCACTACTGAGATTATACTGTTTCTGTGGAACCACTTGTTACACCCCTGCTTGATGAACTGTGATATTACTTGGCTTTCATATGTGAAGTGAACATAGGAAGTTATAAAACCAACAGGTCCATTGCTATATAAGTGATTGGGAACTCACGTATAGGGTTTGTGTGAATTGAACATACTCTCTTAAAGACGCTCATTGCTATGTGAAGTTAACATTAGTGAAGCGTAACACTCCCAACATCGTTCCTAGAGACTCCTCCTTATTTGCGCATTCCTTTATATTAATTACTTTAGGTGTAGCAAGCTTAGTTAGGTTGGAAGATAGATCAATGATGCACTGAGCTTGCTTGGCAATATCAAACCTTGCCATCACGTACTCCTGGGCTAGAGCACGTGATTGTAAACGTGTCTCCGCAGCTGAGCTCCATCTTCCTATTTAATAGATCATTACATCCTTAGTCCTTTGGCTTCTTTCCTTGGATAGCTGCATCATCTCACCGCTGGGGACACCTAAATAGCTTCACATGCCCACTACGGACATCAAGACCTTCCCTCGGGGGTGAATGTTCACTCTCTACTGCCTGGGGATAAGTGATGTCACCCCAGCATGGTGTCACGCACATCCCACCATATCCTTGATGCTCATTATTTGCATACACTGTTCTACTCTCTGCACCACAAATCTAAAAGATAACCGAACCCAAGAACATACAATGTTCAGCTTTCCAGTCCTTGGGCCTCGTTCACACCATCCCCGTTCCGGCCCGATTGAGGCTGAAACACACTGGATCGCATTGCGGCCGGCTCAGTTTGTTGTGGGATGGGAGGGGGTGTGGAGGTACATTGAAATGAATGTCACCGCAATGCGATCAGCCGCACAGGAACGTGTGTCACATCAATGCCTGCCGTCCGGTCAGAAAAAATAGTGCTTGCAGCATTTTTTCGGGCCGGACCACAGGCATTGATGTGCCTTGAGTTCCCGTGCGGCCGATTGCATTGCAGCTGGAGGGCATTGCCATTCGCTTCAATGCACCGCCACGCTCCCTCCCACCCCACGACAAACTGAGCCGGCCGCAATGCGATCCACAATCGGCCCGGAACGCACTAAGGATGGTGTGAACGAGGCCTTAGATGTGGTGTCTGTATTAGTTTTCTTTTTTTAAGCTTTATTCCCTTTATTTCTACCTGGTGATCCTTCCAATAACACACTTCCTGTCCTAGGGCGACAACGCTCACTACTGCATTCTAGACTAGAAACACCTCCACCTCCTCTCTTCCTATCCCATAGGGGGGGCCGTGTTTTAACTATATTTCACGTACCTGGCTGGGTTCGATGAGGAGGCTCCCCTTGCACCTTGTATCCCCCAAACTCTGAGGATGGGAACAGAGCCTGAGAAACAGCAAGTAGCACGGGTGCCAGTGGTTGGGGCAGCATCGTGCCAGGCAGAAGTCCAGAATCAGGATTGGGTAGAGCAGAGCCGAGGTCACTCCTGGCGGACAGCAGAGTACCAGGTCAGTGGGCAGAATCGAGGTGAGACAAGCCAGGGGTCACATCAGTCGGGCAGCGAAGTACAAGGGATGAGGCAGAGGCAAGGTCCAGTAACAATTCCAAGGTCAGAAGGCAGGCAGCAATCAGGAGCAGTCAGGTTCAATCCGGGTCAAGACACAGGAGCAGTAATCAGGCAGAACACACAGGAGCACAAGGACAAGCTGAAAGACCATCCAGCAACTAAGCCCAGGCTGTGCTTGGTTTAAATAGGCTGATCAATTAAAAGGTACCGCATCACTTCCTGTGCGCCAGATTAGCGCGCCTGTGCCCGTTTTCCTATAGTACGAAAAATGGGACCATGCGCATGTGCAGTAGACCTGGTTACCTTACACTATAAATATAGTTTGGAGATTTTCGCTCCCAATCTGTTATTTTATGGGAGAGAAGAAAATAACCCACCTGTAATAAGGAGCTGCGGTCCAAGATAGGTGTACGTGGTTTTCGCTTCATCATTTGTAGAAATGTCCACGCTCCAGCAATAAAAGCCTTGGTCTGGTTCGGTAACTCGATTTATTTGGAAGGATAAACTATTATTGTGATGAGTGCAGATGCCATTATTCCTGCTGTGGTCACATCCAGTATTAGCACCGGCGGCCCGTCCTCCCCGGCAGGTAATGTTACTGGCCAATGTTACAATGTTACTTGTGAAGTGACCAAGAATTTTCACATTGTCTCCAGGAGCAGCAAAGATAACAGACGTTGTCTCCAGACTCGGCTCATTCCCATCTGACAAAGAAGAAAATATTATTATAGACAAACGTGAACAGTAGTTTATCCTTTCCAATAGCCCAAAGGATAAGATTTAGAATATTAACAACCACTTACAAAGCCATCCACAACTCTGACCCCGGCAAATCTCAAACCTTGTCTCAAAGTATCACCCTAACCGTCCCCTTTGCTCCTCCCAAGACCTTCTGCTTTCCAGCTCCCTCGTCAGCTCCTCCCATGCTCGCCTCCAGGACTTCACTAGAGTCTCTCCCATCCTGAGGAACTCTCTACCCCAACCTGTCTATCTGTCTCCCACTCTGACTGTCTTTAAGCGATCCCTTAAGATTCATCTCTTCAGGGAAGCCTATCCCACCTCTAACTAACCACTCAACTATCATGTTCTCAAACAATTTATCCCCACTTGCCCCTCCCTTTTAGATTGTAAGCCCTCAGGGGCAGGGCCCTCCTTACCATCTTGTCTTGAATTGTATTGCTATTGTAATGTCTTCCTTATATTGTAAAGTGCTGCACACACTGTTGGCGCCGTATAAATCCTGTATAATATTAATACTAATGAAAACCTCAACACTATACAAGATGTCTGCCTGTCAGGGAGGGTTGGCCTCAGTGTGGAGGATTTCAGAGCAGGAAAGGAGATATGGTTATAGTATGAATGGTTAGTGTTAGGGTTACAGTGAGAGTCTGGTATGGATTTTGGGGGGAATCACACTTTTTTTCCTAAGATACCCTTTAACATCTATACCAGAACCTCATCAAGGATAAGGGACTGGTATGGATTTTTGGGGACTCCCTAAATATGGGTGCAACATGAAACATGGTCAGACAGGTGCACTTGGTCTTTAAATACCAGATGGCACATGGTACCGCAGTATTAGCCTTTTACAGTCCCTTTACAGCAGACCTCAGGCCTCCCGTTGAGCTGCATCATGCCTTGTTTGCAGTGTGTCTAACACTGTTAGTTCTTCTTTGGCTCCTTCTTATGACCATACCCGTAAACATCATCATTCTGCAACTACTGACAAACTTGTATCTCAGAGTGATGATGCAACACCAGCTCACTATTTAACCATCAGCTGGTCTATTTAGTCTCTTTCCTTGCGTGTGTTCTGCTCTACCAGGTGCTCTGCAGGTGTTCCTGTCCTCCGTGTATGGCTCTGGCTGACTGATCTCCTGGTTCCCCAGCTACTGTCTCTGTTCATCCCGCTCTCAGTATTTCCTGACCTGGTTCTGATGACTACCCACTTTGGCATCTGACCTCTGGCTTAGCATTGACTACGTCATGGACATTCTCCATTGTTTTTTGCCATTTATGTTTATTGTTATTTTCAATAAACTCCTTTTATTTTTAAACCTGCACTTTAAGTTTCTGTCTGGTCTCTTGGTTCCCTAACAGTACACAAGCTCCCACAAAGCTGAAAGCCCCGGTTCATTAACAGGTCTCCAACAGTGTGGGGATTAACTATGACTGGTTGAGTATACATCCAAGGGTGAGTGGGGAGGAGGTGACTATGAGCTTTCTCTAGCTGAACAGGAGCAATATTTGGGCCTGATGGCTCAATTCCGGCAGCACTTCACAAATGGGGGGCTCTTTAAAGGGTGGGGACAACTAGAACGAGGAATCCACTTGAAAAAGAGTAACAGGTAATCGTCTCAGGAGTCCAATTACTTCACAAATAGGGACAAGAAGACCACCATTGGGAGTCAGGAATCCTCCTTCACCAGGGCTTAAACAGTGGGCAATGGGGCACTGATTGACTTTGTTCCCCAGCCCGTGTAGACAATCCTATTTTTCAGGCAAGAGTGGAAATCCTTGGTGTGGAAAGATATTTATGAGCAGTTCAAGTGGTAAGCATACATGTCTGAAGTGGGGTGGGATGGGCTGCTTTGTCATGAATGGCCAGTATGACAGTATCTCTTTATGGAACTAGGGTTTAAAATGGTCTAGCTGAGCATATTCCACTATCAATGACAGAAAACATGACCTTCAACATAATGTGAACTCTTCTCATTTGACCTCATGAACATTTTATTGGCCTGTACTGCTATAGTCATAGAAAAAAATTCAAGTATCATTTATACATGTTGAGAAGGTTGAACTTTGAAGCCCAGCCTTGCTTGACTTACCTTTCACTATAAGCAGCGTGCCGCCTGGGGACTGATACTTCTGATCACTCATATTGTGAAAACTCAGCAGTATGCGGCAGCAATACTTTGCATCGTCCTCCTTTGTTATATTGATGATGGTTATTGAAGCATTTCTGTGGTTTAGATCGAATCTCACATTCAGCCTTCCCTGATACTTGGAGGAGATCTCTTTTGTATCTGAGTCATAAATATTTTTGTCTTCATTACAGTATACGTCATATGGCGCTGCTCTCGCAATAAATCTTGAGGAGTTGATACTCTTCTCTGATTCTGGAAATGCAAATTGGCACGGGATGGTGACAGACTTTCCTTTGAGTGTTTCAGTTTTTGAAGGTTGATCAACACAGTACTGACCAGAGGTTTTATAAAGCCCGTCTGAGGACAAAACACATGGAAGTTATTTAAAGTGGCACTATACTCAGGAGTTAAATCTTAAAAATACATTCAGGTATGTTAACTATGAACAACAACGTATTTTATTTGTGTATCACTCAGCTGTAGATCCTCCAATCATCTCTGAATTGGTGCTGACACTGTCCTTCCTTCTGGAGGGGGGCTACTTTGTTCTCCATGGCCCCTGCGTGTGTTGCAAAGTAGTCACCGCTCCAAACTCACTCCCGGGATAGACTACAATCTCCCTACAAATTAGTAAACTAAACATGAGATTGTAGTCTATCCCGGGAGTGAGCTTGGACCGGTGACTACTTTACAACACACACAGGGACCATGGGGAGAAAAAGTCACTCACTAGAGATAAAGAATAGTTTTTAATGTTAAAAGGTGGTGACTTTTTAAAAAAATTAGTTTTTTTTCAACCTGACTAACTATGTAATAATAAGCATGCTTAAATTCGTGCTCATGAAAATGCATTCTTTGTTTTTGGAATAGATGATCAGCTCTTGGAACAAATTGAGCAAGGTCTTTACCAAGCAGGCCTTTTTTTTCCTTCAGCTTTAACTAGACCCCAATTATACATAGATTATGAACACTGGGAACTAAAGAAAAAAATTAAATTTTGGCACAAAATTGCTTATTCTATATTAAAAATGCAGCTCTGTGTATAGACCGTGGAAATAGATCATCAGCTCTTTCAGTAGAACATGCAAATACGGACGTCTGGTTTCCTCCAAAAGCAGCTTTTTTCCACCCGAGATTGGAAATAGATAGTCAGCCCGTGGGAGAGAACCCGGCACGGTACTTGTATGGTAAAAGATCTGCTGACATTTTTGCCTGCAGTGATGCAAAAATTATCAGAGGGTGAATGGAAATGATTAGTCAGAGCAGTTCTCGTTAAAATCAATCACATTGCAGAACAATAATTACAGATTTAATCAGCCTGCCATGTAAATGTGTCCTCATTTATACTTCCTCTTATAACTGATGAGTGAATCAACAAGCTTGAGGCACCCCAGTCTAAAAGGTAAAAAATGCAAATGTAAAAAGTAACATGTGGCCCCTCCTAAATCCATTGCAGACCCTTATCCCCGATAGATATGGATTTTAAGGGGAGGGGAGTCCCCATGCAAAGTACAAAAAATTGGAGTAGACTATCACATCAGAATCCCTTCTTTAAACCCCACCATTCACATCAGGCTCCCCCTATACATCAGGAGCCACCTCCTTCCACATCAGAGCCTCCTCTCTCACACAAGGAGCCCCCTTTCACAGCAGTCTGACCTTCACATCAGAAGTACCACTTTCACATCGGTAGCCTCCAAGTCAAAAGCCTTCTTCACATCAGAAGCATCCTTCCTTTACATCAGGAGCCCAAACTTCCTATCATAGGTCCAACCTTCCCATCAGTAGAAACAACAAGAGCCCTTTTCACATTAGCCCGCCCTCCCCCACCCCTACATCAGAGTCCTCTTCACATCAGAATCCCTCCTTTCACATCAGAGTCCCACTTTACATCATAAGCTTTCTCATTTCATATCATAGTAACCTCTCTCACACTAGGAGCCCCCTCCTTCACATCAGAAGTTCCACCTCCATAGACACAGCATTAGAAGGACCAGTACACTGTGAATAATAATCACTACAGCCTGTATAAATACTGTATACCCATAGACACAACATGAGCAGAACCAGTCCAATATATATAATAATCACTAAAGCCTGTATATATACTGTATACCCATAGACACAACATGAGCAGAACCAGTCCAATATATATAATAATCACTACAGCCTGCATATATACTACATACCCCCATAGGCACAGCATGAGCAGAACCAGTCCAATATATATAATAATCACTACAGCCTGCATATATACTACATACCCCATAGGCATAACATGAGCAGAACCAGTCCAATGTATATAACAATCGCTACAGGCTGTATATATATATATATATATATATATATATATATACTACATACCCCATAGACAGAACGTACCAAATGTCTATGGGGATACTGCTGCACACCTTACCGCATGCCCCTATTATGCAGATGGGTGCTGTAATGAACGCAGAAATCTCCACATGTATGTAAGCAGTAGTAAAGAATAACCAGCACACCAATGGGTAGTGTGGGAACACTCTTGCTTCTTCTTTAATCACGTATAATGTCACATCTCCAAGTGCAACTTTTTTTGTGCTTGGAGATGTGACATTATACTTGATTAAAGAAGAAGCAAGAGTGTTCACACACTGCCCATAATCACTACAGCCTGTGTATATATTACATACCCCATAGACACAGCATTAACAAGACCAGTACTGTATATAATAATCACTACAGGTTGTGTATATATACCTCATACCCCATAGCCACAACATGAGCAGAACCAGTCCACTGTATATCATAGTTACTACAGGCCATATATACTACGTACCCCATAGAGGCAACATAAGCAGGACCAGTACACTTCATATAATAATAAAACCACAGCCTGTATATATACTACATACCCCATAGACACAGCATTAGCAAGACCTGTACATTGTATATAATAATCACTGCAACCAATATATATATATTACATACCCCATAGACACAGCGTTAGCAGAACCAGCGTAAGGGAAATCATGTTTTTTAACTGTTCGAAAGGCAAAAAGACACCTAAAGGGGAACTTGTATTATTTAAATGACTTTAGAGCACACAGGAAGACTTTCATATCGGAAAACTTCCTCTTTTTACTGTCACTGTCTTCAGAAAGTTTTGTTAAATGAAGAAACCGTTGCAAATTTAACTGCCGTTAAAGGAGATTACGACATCGCCGAGTGCTATATGAGCTCAGGAGGCTTTACCAAAATGTATCTAAAGCCAAAACTTACTGTTTTTATTTTTGGATCGGATGGGGAAGGTTTAAACCTCCCATTACATTATTTTTAGTTCTCTGTGGAGAGGAGAATGTTCATCTTAGACAATTGTCACCAGGTCATTTGTCCCCATTGGAAGATTTCTGCAGCACTCCAACTCCTAGGCCAAAAGGCCTGAAGGAAGGACAGTACTCATAGCAGCATCACCACTGGGCAGAGGCCCAGGATGGAAGACCATGTAGCAGGTGGTGTCTCAACATTAGGCCGTGTCCAGACCTAAACCCCATTGAGAGTCTTTGGGGTGTTCTGGAGACTTTACACAGTGGTCCGACTCTCCCATTATCACTGCAATATCTTCGTGTAAACTTAATGGAACTCTGCATGGAAATAAATGTTGTGACTAGGGATGCACCAAAACCGTTTTTTCAGTATCGAGTACGAGTTTTGGTTTTCGCCGATACCGAATACTAGACTTGTGCGCCGTCAAAAAATTTGTTCCGTTTCGGAATATCCGTTATTATATATTTCGTAATTCGTGTCCGAAACTCAATTCGGATTCGTACGAAATACGAATTTTCGTTAGTTTCGGCACATTTTCGTAACTGTACGAACATTCGTTATGATGAAGTTAAAAAGCAAAAATACCTTTGTTAATATTGGAGTCGATGTGGTAGTTGTTTTTTTATCCAAAATACGAATTCCGTTAACGGATTCCGGATCCGAATTTCGTATATTTCGGATAAAAAAAAAAACTACCATCAACTCCAGTATATTAACAAATGTACTTTGCTTTTTAACTTCAATATAATGAATGTTCGCAACGGAACGAAATTCCGTCAACGGAATTTCGTATTTCCTGCCTGTGTATTGTAATGCAACTCTCAGCAGCAGCGGATCAGTATTTCATATTTTTTTGATGCGGCTGCACTATGTACTGGGTAGTCTCCCGAATTTCGGATCCGAAAAAAACGTTTTTTTTCAGATTAAAAAAAAAATCTTGTCATGTTGTTCAACCTCATTTACAGGGGTAATATTAGTTCCTGTTTCAAATAAATTCGTATCTGAAATTCGTTAACGGAATTTCGTATTTTGGATATAATTCGTAAACTGCAATTCGGATTTCGGATGCTTCCGAATTTAAGAGTTTCAGGAAAATTCGCACGAATTTCGATTCGTAACGAAACGAATCGCACATGTCTACCGAATACTGATACCGTAAGTCCCATTAAGGAAGCCAGGTGGCATGTAAAGACTCACCACCCGGCTTCCCGATTAGCAGGGAACCAGTCTCCATGCTTCTCGTCACTAGGTGACAAGAAAGCATGGAGTCTGATTTCTGGCCAATCAGGAAAGCCAGGCAGCAAATATCTCCTCCTGGGAGAAATCCCTGAAGACTCAAAGCTAGAGGAGGTCCAATGAAATATTAGGCCGTGTGACGTTTTTTTTTTTTGGACAGGCAGTGCATATTTGTTGGAACCTTGTTTAGATACAAAAATTATATATGTAATGAATAGAGACAAGGGAACTTCTGGAAAGTGCAATCAGTAGTGGTTCAGCTGAACCCTTAAAATCCAGAATTTCTGAACTAGAAGTCCCTTTGAAGAAAATGGAAATCCAAGCCAAACTCCAGAAAAAGTGTGTATTATAAAGCAGCAGATAGATGTTTTCAGGGTTGTAATGTTCCTGGAGAAATGTTACACATATGGTGGGCATGCCCATTAGCTACTGCGTTCTGAACCAAGGTTTTTAAAGTATTAAGAACTCTGTTCCATGCTCCATAAACACTTACTGAGGGATCCGGGACAAGCACTCTTGCTGCTCCATAAACACTTAGTGAGGAACCCAGGAAAAGCACTCCTGCAAATAACTGTAGCTTGATTGACCAAGTCACAGCTTGCCTTAACTACTTCTTATTCATAGCTGAGTGCTGTTAGGAAACGTTTTCACAAAACTAATTAATGGAGGTGTAGCCCTTATTAACCTTTGTGATGTGGCTACTAGAAAGTTAGTGTTGCCAGAGCTGTAGTTGGTGTGGCTGAATTACAGTTGGCATTTATCTGGTTAATTCCAGGTGTTCTGGCATTGACTGTGTGACCCTACTACAGTGTGGGGCAGCCATTGGGGAACATTCTGAGTGTGTGTGGCTCACCAGCCAATCACTGGTAGTTTCATAGCCAGTGGTGCATGCTGTAGAAGTGCATATATATCCAGGGGAATTGCCAAGTGCTCAGTTCTCAGTATTGAATTTACACTGTGGAATACCCAAAGGAACTGGTGAGTCTGGAGTTTTGTTCTGTCCTATTTTTGCAGTGGATGTCCTAAGCCCTAAACCTTTTTCCCAACTATGAATTTCTACAATAAAGTTCCTTCAGCATCAAATGCACAGTCTAGACCTTGCTTTGTCAGTTGCCACAGAGGGTGGTAAGTGCCTTTGGGGCAGTGGCACCCAGGTTGCTAAAAACCCCTAGACAGACTATGGGAGACTTGATTATTCAGCGGCTCCTTGGTGGGTGAGCGTTACAGACGTATGGAGAATCCACTTTCTGTTTACACGAGCATAACTCTTACTTCGGGATGGATATGATTTTTATAGATCATTATCATACAAAGCTTCTCCATCAAGTGAATATTCTCCTAATTACGTTATCTGATCACTCTTCAGTGTCAGCTCTCTTTCACCTTGCTCCAGGTTCTATCAAACCTACAAGCTGGAAATCAAATGAATCACTGTTCAAGGACTTGACAGTGCAGAATATTATAAAATTTGAGTTTTTTGGGGGAAAATTGTTCAATAGATACTGTATATCTTCATTTGGGGTAAATTAATTGTGAATGGTGCAAGATTAAAGAGAGAGAAGCTTACTGGAATAAAAACCCTTTCTGCAGAAATAGTTCACTTGGAGAGATACAAAAAGTCGCTAACTCTGATGTCAACTTCACCTGAGCAAATTCATCAACGGTTTGGCAGGTAATTGGTAGACACATTAGATTTGTTTTGTTCTGAGTTGAAATTCGGACGAACATCGGCATATTGGGACTTTCAGATGCTTCTGAATTTCGAATGGAAAAAATGAATCTAAACTAATACAAAGTTTGCGGTATTGAAAATCCGGTTGCATCTGAAGGTGGACTAAGCCTTTAAGGGCAATTTGCACCATTGTAGGGCAGTACAGCATGTTCATTAATGCTGTAATACCCAGGGCCGATTTACTCTCCCTGCTGCCCCAAGGCCAGGTTCCACAATTAACCCCCCTCCCCGTAAACACCCG